CATGCTGACAATCCTGCTAGTCTTATTTTTACATTCTTGCACAAAGAAGTATTTCAGGTTTTACATGTTTGTTGGAATTTATTGAAATTATTTATTTCTATTTTAGTATTTAGATTTTTCTGTTTTTTCCCTTGATTTATCATGCCATTTGCACATTTTTGTAGCCCAACAGCAAAAAAGGTTGTTACAGGTTGATATAACATTTGAATTTTATTTTTAGTGAAGTGAGTGTAATGTATATTAGAACTTGCACTGGAATTTATTTATCCAATATATGGCATGTTCCAGCAACTGGTCATTTACACATCTAATTATATTAGGAGGTGATTACTGATTAGTTTTAATTTTCAGTTAAATACTTTTAAGTTCTGTTTCTCAATTTATCAGGTTGTATTTACAGTTGTACTACTTTTCAACTTTTATAAGCCAAGTTATTTGCTGTGTAGCATTTAAATAAATGTGAAACTTGTTCTCATATTTCAGGCTTGTTTGATTGGTTTGATACATCAGGCTGATATTGTGTTTTTGTTTTGTTTTTTACCGTCACTTATCGTTATCGTGGTAAAACCTAGAAATTATCGTGATAAATTTTTTTGTCCATATCGCCCATCCCTAGCCCGTACACATTGCTTGCTAAAAGCCTGACACTACTGCACTTAGGGCAGCAATCCCCAGGCTTTCTGGTGAAGTCACAAGTAATAGTTAATGTAATGCAGTATATGAAAAAAATAAATATATAATTGTGTATTTTGTAGAAGTCCACAGATATTTTAATTACCTCAGGCAATTTTGTATCTACCTCAAAGAAGGATTTACTCTCAATAACAATTCTAAAAAAAAACTCTGATAAGTTTTCCATTTAATCAGAATGATAACCACAATTAAGGTTGAGATATACTTGCTCGTTGGGGTGTCAATCCAGTCTGTGTGAACTGTGAGCTAGCCTATAGAAGCAATGTACCCTTTTATAGTTGACACGGATTTAGGTACAGTACTTGGAAAAAGCCACAGAGGGGCACTGATCAACGCTACACTCACAAATTTTGTGTGTGGGGGGGTGTTTGACTGTTGATGCCCTGCATCCAAAATGGCAGCTACTCAGAAATGAATCTGTAGGTTTACTTGCTGCAAACAGAGAGATACGACGATGGGGAAAGAAGCCTGCCTATGAAGCCCGTATGGACCTTTTTTTAAATAACAGATATGAACAAATGTTGTTTTACTTAATAAAAACTGAAAACATTATATACTATAAGTAGTTGTTTCAGGCTTTATTTTTGCTATAGGTGATGGAAACTAAAATCCTTGTTTGTACCACACGTTTGGCCTATAAACTCACCTCTGAAAGTATGCCAGTACTTTGTGTTTGCTACTTTGCAACACAGCATTTAACAGAACTGTTCCACTTGAATCCATTTGATATCAGTACAGGTAAACGTGTGTGGAGGACAACTATATCCTCCCATGTGGAATGGGGCTGGCACATGTGGTTAGCGCCAAGTTACAAAAATTCGGAGGTGTGAAGCCCCCCTCAGGGGTCGGGATGGCTTGATTGCATCACTTTTGGTGCATTCACTCTCGCGCTCACTTCAGTACAGCGAGTATAAACCAGCCTAGCATGCCAGCATGCGTCACACAGTGTGTAAGTCAGGCAGGTAAGGCTCAAAACCTCTGGTCAAAAAACAGACTGGACCAATCACAGTGCAAGAGGTGCGCTCATATACCCCGTTTACACTATCCTTGAAAAGTCGAGACCATGCCACCTCAAAACTTATGGTTATGCACCAAAAGGTGTTTGCCAACCGCCATAAAACACAAGAAGACGAAGAAGAAGGAGGGAATCAAGCAAGTCAAAATGGCGGCGCCCGTCACATTCAGAAAGTTATGCTTGATTATTATTGCTGTACTTCTGTGTTTGCGGAGGGTTAGGCGAAGACGGCAACCTTTCGTGGCTTTACTTGAGAAAGTCGGCTTTTGGGACGTGGGTCAAACAAATGATCGTCTACTCCAGGTTTACAGACACCAGAAACAGTGATAGACCCAGGTCGCACCACGCTCTTTTGAAGCCATTATTTAAAATGTTGCGTGGAGAAGATTTCGATTGTTGTTTATAGTTGTTCTTCTGTTTTGTGTTGGTTGGCAAGCAACTTCCATAGGGGTATTACCGCCATCTACTGGAATGGAGTGTGAATCAGGATGTGCAGCCAGACGGAAATGACGCATTCTGCTCATGCGCTCTTGTTATCAGAGAACCGAGCCGAGCCCACCTCTGGAACTGGTCTGCTGTTAGCTCGGTCCGGTTGTGTCTAGCTCGGTTCAGTTCAGTTTGCTTTCCATTTACACACGATAAGTTATCTCAATTACTGAGCTCGGACCGGTCTCTGCACGTTTTTTCAAGGGTAGTGTAAATCGGGTAATTATGGCGCATTCACAGTGAACACAATGCTTGCGGCAAGAGCTGCGGATTAACACAGTAACCCAAAGCACCTGCACAGCCAAGAGTGGAGGAGCGGCTGTGGGTAAATTCCATCTTGTGAGGGAGGTCACCGAATTGCTCTCACCGTGTGGTCAGAGTTTGCGTCAGGGCAGTAAATTTCGGGTTGGTTGTGGCTGCTACCTGGTTTAAAGGTCTGCAGCTAAGAGTAAGGCTGAGTATTGCCATGAGTGTTATCCTTAAAAAAAATCAATCTACCGTATTTTCACGACTATAAGGCGCACTTAAACGTCCTTTTTTTCCCTCAAAATGTGCGGTGCGCCCTATGTGTGTTGTAACTGCGACTTTTGAGACCACCTCATTGAGGAGATGATGAAAGAGTGGCTGAATGTAAGGAGACCAGGTGTTTTTTTTTCACTCATCACCATCGCTGTTAATCTGTGACTCCATGCGTGCCCATCTCACAGCTGATGTGAAAAACATGGGGAAACAAATTAACGCTGTGCTCGCTGTTCAACCGCTCGACATCGGTGTGAACCGGACTCAGCAGGTGCAGCAGAAGCAGCGAGTTTACATGCAAAGTCAATGGTTGACGCGCATATAGGTGCAGCAAATGGTCCCGCAGCGCGTTTTGAGCAGCAGGCGCAGCGCGTCGGGAGCGTTTAAGCATCTGACGCACCGCCAACGCGCTGCTGCTGCTCGAGATGGAGAAGCTGATCTGGGAGCTGACAGCGAGACAGACACAGCGCTCTGATGACATATGATATTAACGCAAATGAAAAAGGCTGGATGGATGAGGAGATGATGAAAGTGTGGCTGAGGCAGGTGTATGTGAGGAGACCAGGTGGTTTTTTCCACGCATCACCATCGCTGCGTGCCCATCTCACAGCCGATGTGAAAAAAAAGGTGAATCAAATGAACGCTGTGCTCGCCGTTATCCCGGGGGTCTGACAAAGGAACTTGAACCGCTCGACATCGGTGTGAAGCGGCCGTTCAAAGTAAGGCTGCGAGCTGCGTGGGAGCGATGGATGACAGACAGAGACCACAGTTTCACGATAAGTGGAAGGCAGCCCCGGGCAAGTTACGCCACCGTTTGCGGATGGATTGTAGATGCTTGGACTAACGTGTCTGCTGGCTCTGTTGTTCAAGCTTTCGCAAAAGCCGGCATTATTTCTGAGGAGCCGCCCGGCACGGAAAGTGACTCTGACAGCGAAGAAGGGGAAATTGGCATGTCTGATTTAGCGCAGCTGTTTAATTCAGAAACAGAGGATGATGACTTTGATGGGTTTGATTAATACTTTGTAATAAATACATGAATAAAGCACAATCATACTCAGTTTTGCTCCTGCTCTATTTTTCTACCTGAAAACTTAATTCAACAGCAGCCTCTGGGCCGGGTCTCCTCCGCGTATACCGCAGTGGCTGGCAGGTGTTTTTTCATCTAAATAATCTAAATCTTGCAGCTATATTTGCTGTGATCAGTGGGAATAAAGTAGTTTTAATATGTTTTTAAGTGAGAAAGTCCACCTGAAAACTTAATAATTGCAGTCAGTTCATCCAGATTATCTATTGCTGTCGGAGGCGCTCAGACCCCCACATACCAGCAGTACACCGACAGTAGAAATCCTTTCATCAGCAGCCTCTAGGCCGGGCAGCCTCCGGGTTCACGCGGTGGCTGGCAGGTGTTTTTCATCTAAATAATTTAAACTGCAGGCACCAGGATACCGGTAATAAAAGCGAACATATTCCGTCGGCAGGTTTCAGGATTTTAAGTTAATTTAGGAGTGATCACAGCGCTGTGTCATCTGCGATGTGTCTGTCTCACAGCCAGCTCCCAGGTTTGATTAATACTTTGTAATAAATAAATGAATAAAGCACAGTCATACTCAGTTTTGCCTGAGTAGAGGTATAAATACGCAGTAGAGGTATTTAAAGGTAGTAGAGGACATGTACCTGTATATAAAAAACGCGCCCTATAGTCCGGTGCACCTTATGTGTGTGTTAAATACAGAAATGGGACACATAACTGAGAGTGCGCCTTTTAGTACGGTGCGCCTTATGGTCGTGAAAATACTGTATTAGCAACTGAAAAATCTATATCATGTTGGGCACTCAAAAATCACGATATATCGCCAAATCGTTTTATTCCCACATCCCTACCTGAGACTAAGCATTTGTTATTTAAAATGGAATTTAGAAAACATTATGTTCTGAAAAAGGAAATAAGGAATGCTCTTAAGAAGATTTTAAATGGCTTTTAATAAAATTGGTTTCAATATAGCCCTAGAAAGGACTCTTCATCATCCTTCCTTACCTCCAGCACAGATACCTTTCTGTTCCCATAGCCCTTCCCACGTCTGTGCACTCTGCCCTAAGGCTCCTCTAAATGTACCGCTGTCCTACTTTCCATCTTCTGCAGACGGCCTCCAGAGCTAGCCCAGTCTAGCCGCCGTCTCAGTCCTGCTCTGGTGCTCTTGTCTACCCAGCAGGCTTCTCTTATGTACCACTGTCCCTATTTGATCTTCTGCAGGACGACTATTAAATTATTTATAATTTGTCGTCCTAGATGCAGCACAGACTGACCAGCTGGTGCCTCTCCCCAGCACTGGTGCTCTCTGCCCAGCTGGATGCACGGAAGTACCGCCAAATCCGATCATCATCCATTCACAGCTCTTGGAGTCAATAGTGGTATTTTCCAAACTAGTTCTGTCTCTGGAGAATTGGGTGGCCCCATTGGCATCAATTGGGTTGTTCGGCTTTCCAGAGCAAAGAAAGCTCCGTAACTCGATCAATAAAGTCCCTGTCCACCATGTTTAGAAATGGAGCCTCATACTCCTGCTATCTGATGGCGGTCAGCTCACCACTGTGCTCACGGAAATTATCAGGGACTTTGTGTTCTTTGTGAAGAACCAAGATAGTCAAGACTGTAGCTGAATCAGTTGTTTTATTGATGTTCTTTGTTTCCCAAAAGGGCTGTTTATATTTTGTACATTTCAACAACTGATAGCTGTAGGAGCTTTAAAAAAAAAAAAGGATGATGTTTTTGCATCACATCAGCAGTGATTTAAATGGTTCTAAAACTTCCAAAAAAGTAAAAAAAAAAAAAAAAAAGCAATCCATTTGACTTGGTTTCTAAGTTTGAAGATGTTTTGCGTCCCCTCCAGGAAGCTTTTTCAATTCAAAATGTCAGAAATAGTGTTTAGTTTGAGGCTTTATACAGTAGCCCGACAAAGCCTTGTTTTTGCTTAGAAAACATGCAAATTAAACCGGACGAACGGGTCCACTGGTCGTTTAGCTTCTTTTTTTAGACTGCAATGTCCCATACCTCTCTAAGTCTCTGAAAGGAGGGGTCGTTAAAGGGAATTGTTGGCCTGGCTGAACAGGCAAGGTCTTGTTCTCCTGTACAGGGGCTGGGGTTACGATGATAGCGGTAAGAGTTCAACTCAATTGCTGAATTGTTGGTGCAGCAATTGAAATCACCCCCTCTGTTTATGGTTGTTTTTTCTTTACATTGCTTCAAAAGAAAAGTGTAGATGTACTGCGGAGTCTTGTCTGGAGGAGGTTGCTCTTCTGTGTTGAGCCATGCGTCTGTGGAGAGGTAGTTTGGTTCATCCAATGTCAGATAAGAATAATATCAGAAAAATGGAAATCAATCCCATGTCTTCTCAGTATGGAACCAGATGTCAACTGATAAAGAGAAAAGAGCAGAGGTCCTAAAGCTGAGCCTTGTGGGACCCTGTAGGATAGAGAAGCACTAGATGATTCTGTGTTGCCAATTTTGACACAGCGGTTTGTCAGGTATATGAGCCAATGAAGAGCATTGTGCTGGATCCCTACTACACTAAAAAAAAAAGCAAAATAAATGCAACACTCCCATTTTGTTATGAGATAAAATCAAACATCTTTAAATTTCCACATGCAAATATCCATTTCCCTCAAATATCTTTCACAAACCTAAATCTGTGAAAGTGAGCACTCCTTTGCTGAGATAATCCATCCCACCTCATAACAAGATGCCGATTAGACACCATGATTAGTGCACAGGTGTGCCTTTGACTGCCCACAATAAAAGGCCACTCTGAAAGATGTTTTTTAATCACATAGCACAATGCCACAGATGTTGACAGCACGACTGTCAACACTGTATTGAATGTTTTTTTTTTTTTACCATGAGCCGTCTCAAAGGGATTTTTCGGAGAATTTGCTAGTACATCCAACTAGCCTCACAACCGCAGATCACATGTAACCACATCAGCAAAGAAACCTCCACATCCAGCATGATTACCTTCAAGATCGACTGAGACCAGCCACTAACACAGCTGCTGAAACAATCGGTTTACATAACCAAAGAATTTCTGCACAAACTGTCAGAAACCGTCTCAGGGAAGCTCATCTGCATACATGTCGCACTCATCTGGGTCTCCACCTGATTCCAGTTTCACTTGAGAGGGCAAAAGCTCATATTCACTGGCGTCTGGCACGTTGGATAGGTGTTCTCGTAATTGCCATCACAAATGGCAATATACTCTACAATAATCGCAATCGCAAATCCATGAACACCTGAAACCAAACTCCCATGGTATGTATGCATGGGTATGCTCATGTTTGTGTATGTAAGATTTACAAAGCGTATTCAGTAGGAAAAAATGCTTAATAGCAGGTGTGAGTGGCCCCAGAATCGCCCTACATGGCCCTGGGTGGAAACGGACACAACACAAGCACACAAACATGCAATGGCACCCCAGATCAATGGGACAAAAGGAGGGCATCTACCAATATGCTTCTGGTTTGGCTGTTCACTGGCAAGCAATGGTATTCTACAATCGGTGGCTTCAGGAACTTCCAAAAGTAATGATTAACAACGTCCTCTGCTTTATACAAACCTTATCATCTGCTCCACGGAGTAAAAAAGAGAAGGGCTTCAAGTTTTATGTTTCGACTGACATTGACAGTTCGTCGAAATCGACTTACTGTACTTACTGCACAGGTAAAGCAATTGTAAATAACATTATTCGTTGATTTGACCATAAAACCAGAGTGACAAGTTTGAAGACTGCATTTACACAAATCCCAGTGTGTATCACCCCATTAATTCTTTGGTCCAGGTGATTTATCACCAAAGCAGTTTTGGGTCCTGGATCCAACTAGTGTTGCACCGATACTGATACCAGTATAAGTCGTGGCCCTGATCCAGCACTAAAATGGTGGTATCTGCAAGTACCAACAAATAGGGCACTGATACCATTTTGACAGCCAAAAGTTTAGTCAACTATTGTCACCCATTCCAGGTAGGCAATAAAATGTTCTACTGGATTCACTTTGTATCAGTCTTTTTCCTGCTTCATAAAGGTAGGCAGCAGCTTGACAAAGCCATGATGGCAATTATTTTACATCCAAGTAGTATGCAGTTCTTCAGATATATACACACATCAATTTCAAACAGATGGCGTCGGTACGGTCACACAAGTTATCCTTAAAACTGAAAGGATCTTTAGTCGGTTTTAAGCAAACAAAGCTAAACAAAGCCAATATAAAGTGCTCTACATGGGGAAAGAGAAAATATAATGTTCCATAATGATAATTAAATTCATCAACCTGAATAATTGGATAACAAAAATAATTAAAATCCTAAAATGATTTTGAAAAATAAAGCTAATGATTTATAAGAACATGAACGGAGAGTTAGACTGTAAATTTAATTAGAGCCATATTCGCTTCCAGCCGCTACAAACGGCAGTGGAAAATCCCCCACAGGCTAGCAGCTCAGAGAGCTCCCAGCGGGGATTTCCAGCGCTGCCTCTTGGAGGTATGCTGCAGATCTGGCTCTCCGATCTAGAATTACATATTTTAATAGGATTATAATCTTGATGAACTGACTGCACAGAGGATGTTTGTAGGTGGACTTTTACGTTTACATTTTTATATAAAGCAGAGCCGTGTTAAACTTGTCCCTATGGACAAGTTTGTTGGCGGGAACAAGCATGCGGCGCTGTTTGCAAGCAGGTAAGCTTGAAACTGAAAAGTTTACGAAAACTTATCCAATGCCTGATAACTATAAGATTATTTTGGAGGGTTTTTTTGATCTTTGGGATACTACTTTCTGTGTCATTCACAGATGTGAATGACACTGGGGAGAGGGGCACAAACGGTACTAAATCCGCATACAATATCATACACTGTGATAAGAAGTTTCTTTTGACTCTGTGATTAAACTTTAAAGTTGTAGGGAAGCGGCTGTTCCAACTGTTGCATTTCCAAATTTTACAGAGTGGTGCCCGACTTTACACGAGTGAATAAAGTGAATGTGATTGGTCGTTTATCAAGGGGGCAGGATTGTTGTGGCGGAAGGTTTGCAAGCACTTTGGTTGTGGCCAGTTTGTCGGAAGCATCTTTCTAATCAGTTAGCAACTTAGTGCTAGTAGGTTCCCAATGGGAAATTCCATTGGGACCAAGTAGCACTAAATTGGTGACTTAGAAACGATGCTGTCAAGGAACGCTATGGACAGAGGAAACATGCAAGAGGAGGAGAGTTTAGTGTCGGAGGTCGTGGATGAGTCTCCTCCGTCATCCATTTTTTATTTAAAGGAGGAAAGCGGGGACGAAGATGTTGTGGAAGAGGACGCCAGGGCAGCAGAAGCTTGGTTTGGTGTAGAAGGCTTCCAGCCGTACATGTTTGAGCCCTTGCCTCGCAACGCTGCCAGTTCTGTTAGCTCTACGCCTGCTGAAGACACAGACGTCCATCCCTGTGAACACTGGGACGCAACTCAATGGGAAAGGAAAGTATTCTGATTTCAACCGTTGCGTATATTAGCTGTGACATATGAATCAAGATGCTATGACCGAAAAAATGTGATTGAGATGACCGTTGATATGATTGGCCGAATTTAGGCGATGAGTAGGGCTGCAACTAACGATTATTTTAAAAATCGATGAATCGGCCGATAATTTTTTCGATTAATCGAATAATCGGACAAAAAATATTTTTTATACTAACCTCTTTATTCCAAAATAAACATTTTAGAAAGAACAAACAAGCACACAAGTACAGGTTGCTCATTGACTGTACTGGTGCAATATGAAAAATAAATGTTTGAGTTAAAACTACGCAAACCTACATGAGAAATGTAGCTGTACATCCACAAAATATAGGCGACTTTGTTTCATAAAGCGCAAAAAAAGACAGGCATGTTTGTTTTTAAAAGCCCCTAAGGGGTTCAAACAATAGGTCCCCCCATTTCATCAAATTAGTTTTTTTTAGACTAGAAGAGTTCTGCCTTTTAAGACAGGAAAGTATAGCAGTTAAAGTTGCTACTTGAGAAAATACTGAACCATAGAGATAAAAATAGCCCTGTGATTCAAATTATAAATTGTATTTGGAATAAAAATGAGAGAACTAGGGGTGGTAAAAACACATCCTCCAAAGACAGATATTTACATGGGAATGTGGCATATAATTCATTGACATATTACTGATCTTGCTGGATTTTATTCTGCTTTACTTCCATAAATTGCAGGATCTTCTTTACTTTATCTTCGCCAGAAGATTTAAACTTTAAAAGTCTTGCCCTCATAATTTGCAAGTTAATTTATTTATAAAGGCTATTTTAATTATTGTGATCAATTTGCGCCGTCAATCCCGGCGCATGCACGCTTCATTTGCAGTCTGGACGCTGAAACATCCTGCGGCT